ACAGATGTGAAATTAGAAGTTAAAGTAGGCGATGAGGTCCAACTTTTCAAAAATACAAAACCAAATTTTATGCAATTAAAAACTTTATTGGGGAAATATAATAGTAAAGGAAATGTCGCCCTCTAATGGATATATTTAAAGGAAATGAATTTCAGAAAGGTTTCCCTGCCCTCCCTTTTCTTGGTTCTGCGCACCCATCAAACATAAAGAAAATTATTCAACTGGAAATTTACAACGGGGAACTTACTGAATGGAAAGGTTATTTGAGGAAGCACCTGTAGTATTTCTCGGAAAAATAGCGTATGGGATTTATATTAATATATTCAAATTACTTGATGTCTTAAAGAGTAGATAATTAAACATGCCTCAAGCTGAATCTCAGAATCCTGTGAATGTTGACCTGCACCACGAAGATATATTCTGCAAAATTCAGCCATGGGAAATGCTGCTGAACAAACAACTGTCTTTAATAAATAAGTTGCAACAAAAGAAAGAGATGGAAAGGAAACCTATACATTTAAAGAGACTTTAAAAACATAACCAATCACAAGATGATTGATTTTGTTTTAAAAAGACAGTAAACATTTGATATTATGAAACCATTAGAAACACTGCCTTGATGTTTGCGATTACAAAATAACTTTTTTTTTTGATGTGGTAATGGTAGTGTGGTGATGTTTAACAAGTGTTCTTATCTTTTAGAGACACGTGCTGAAATAAGCGTTTGGCAGCCCTCAGGAGTAGGCTTCTTCAAGCAAAAAAGGAAGAAAAATCCTTATGGAAAAATCTGGCAAAGAAACTAGGAAGTTAGGAAAGACTGTAGATAGATCTCTTGTCTTTCAAATTTTCCCCAGTCTTCTAGTCAACCTGAGGACTGGAGGTACCAAGTAAACCCAGAATATGCCTGTGTTTGTGTTTCATGTGACATGGGGAAAAGAACAGGAGGACGGTAGAGAATATACATATATCTCCAGCCATCTTAGAAATGAACCAATTCTTTGATTTCAGTTAAACGTTTGGGAGTTGGCCAGTGTGGTGAAATACAAAACTTTGGATCAAGAAAAGAAAGGACATGCTTTCTTATATATACGTGCATGTGTTCAATTAAGCCAATCTGCTGGTAATGTGTTTGATTTTAAGAATGCAAATTAAGAGAAAATGTCATCCCAACTTGGGCCTTATCCAAACATTATTTTTTTTTTTAAAGAAAAACAGCTGTCATTAAGCTGGACAAGTGGAAAAGAACATAATAGAACACTGGCAAACACTGGGACAATTCCAAGTGAAGTTGGCAATTAAGAAGCAGATCTGGAATTGCCCATGCAAAAATCATATAAGGGAGGTAGCTTGCAATAAACTTTAGAAACTTTACCTGGTGTGAGGTCTTCTAGGTGCTTACACAATCAGAAACCCTCTGGAAATTAGAAGATAAAATACCCTGGAATTTATCTTGAAAGTGAGGGCATTATAATCCCAACTATTTAAGTATAGACAGAACTGTCTTATGAGAAGGGTAGATTATGGCCTTGACTTTGGAGAGTGGCCAAATTTTAATTTAGTTTGTGGATCACCTTCGGTGTATTTGGTATATGTAGATATTTAACTCCCACAGGTGATTTTAATCAACACTGCTAGTCAGGAGGGAATGTCTTTAAGCAGAGAATTGACATGTTCACGCTTGCAGAAATCTGAAATTTATTGGAGAAAACTATAGAGCAGAGAGCATTACCTGCTTGTTTGTTGATTGTCTTTCTGTTCTACAAGAATATAAGCTCCATGAGGGAAGGGATAGTCTCCATTTGGTTCACTTTTGTATCCCATCTGCCTAGGGCACTGTGAGCACAAAGTAGAAGCTCAATAAATATTGAGTAAGTGAATGAATGAAACTAACTGGATGAATGGGGCAATGTAATGAATGGCTAGGTTTCTTTTTAAACTCTCACAGAACCCACATGTGCTTAAGACTATGTGTTGGCCGGGCATAGTGGCTCACATTTGTAATCCCAGCACGTTGGGAGACCGAGGCGGGCAGATCACCTAAGGTTGGGAGTTTGAGACCAGCCTGACCAACATCTGGTCTCTACTAAAAATACAAAATTAGCTGGGTGTGGTGACACATGCCTGTAATCCTAGCTACTCAGGAGGCTGAGGCAGGAGAATCGCTTGAACCTGGGAGG